GTAGTAGTAGTAGTAGTTTCAGTAGCAGTAGCAGTAGCAGTAGCAGTGGCAGTGGCAGTAGCAGTAGCGGAAGCAGCAGCAGCAGGCGCTGTCGTCCTTTCCACATACAGTAGTCGAGTTGAGACTGTCTGTGAACTTGTGGTCCCAAAGTTCAGTGTATATATAGGCCCACAGATAGCAGCAGTTGAAACTATTGTTGTAATCATTGTCAATGTCTCACTAGTCTTAGTAGTTTGTCATCATGGTCGTTTCTACTGAGAAACCTCGCGATGGTCGTGATCATTTTGCATCCTGAGTCTGGCAGATGGGTTCGACAAGGCGACTTGCGACAGCTGCTACGCATGTAACTTGATCTTCGGTGTAAATTTTCGCAGGATCAGGATTTGAGATTCAGGTTGTTGTCAAGGCTTGTGCACAATCTTCGAAAACAGGAATTTCAGTGGGCTTTCCGCAGGAACGCCGGAATGTCTGACGGCAGGTGGACTTTCCAAACGGCATAGACAGAGGCTTGAGGGTAGCTGCAGCAAAAATCTGGTGGAACCCATGAGTCTCGTCAGGGCTGGAACGATGGTAAGAGTAGTAAGACATGAGCGCTCTGATCTTGCAGTAGCTGTTTTGTCTAGCGTTTACAACAGTGACGACGACGGATGGCGACGGCGAAGTCTACGAGCTTTTGCGACTTCGAGCGATTTGAAGACCACAGCCAACGTGAGCGCGGGACTGCGGGGGAGCACGACTTCCGCTTAACAACAGATTGAGAAGCGCACGGCACTGTGACGTGAACGCAAATCAAAGAGTTCGGAAGCGGCAAGGTGTTGGATTTTACAATGAGGATTGTGTGGGAACCGCGAGCGCCTCTCGCGCTGAGAAATCTATTCCCTGCAACCTGAACCTGAGAACATTGTGCGAGGAACTCGTCACTCTCGGTAGACCGTGGTGATGGGGGAGGAGAACGATGACGTTGATGATTGGTGGCGATGACGATGATGTCGATGATGATGATTATCCGGCTGCTGCTGCTGCTGCTGCTGCTGCTGCTGCTGCTGCTGCTGCTGCTTTTAATGGTTGTTAGTTGGTGTAGTTGATGATGGGGACGTTGAAGAGGAGGATGATCACAGTGATCGTGGTCGTGGTCGTCATCATGACCGCCATGAGCACGAGGTTGATGGTTATGCGATATTGATATCCGTGCTGTCCCAGGCAGTCCCGATGGTTGTGGTAGCAGCGAATATTTTCATGATCGCGGGCAGGTGGTGATGATTATGTGTGATGATGTTGATAGTGATTATGTTGATGGTGGTGATGATGGTAATGGTACCGAAACTGACGGGGTTTTATGCCCATGCTAAAAGCCGACATTGACATTGCTGTTGTTGCCATGTCTTGGAACTTCTGTTTGTGCTGGATCGCAACCATTGCCAGAATAAGCAACATCGGGAGGAGGGCGTGAGTGATGTTTACCATAGACCTGGAGCGTTTAATGGGGTCTAAATAATTACCAACACTATTTTGGGGGGTTCCTGATTACATATAAC